TTTGAATGTATTGGATTTGGATATGGGAGACAGGAGGAACATTTGAATTATTTTCTAAGCTTACATATATTAAGTATTGACTAACCCCAATCCTGATTACCAATCTACCAATCCCTATCGGGGCCTTCTCAGGTTTGGCTTTACGGATTTCTTACTTGGAGCCAGTTTGGCACAATGAAAACGGGAGCGGCTTAAAAATTCTAATGAAATCACGGCAGCCGAGAGTAAGATTAAGAACACCCCACACAATAAATATTGTATCTGGACTGCCCCCCATTCTTTGGCTCCGCTCCTCCTTATGAGGGCGGCGTCCATTTCGCATCATGGGCTGAATGATACTTCTAGACGAGGTCATCTTTCGGCTTTGAAACTCCATCTCACTCTCCATACTCTTAGCCTTGGAGTAAACCCCAGTTTCAAGCAGGTTAACAAACAATTTCTGTACCCTTGATCCCTTTGTGCCGTCGTAGGTCGCAAAATGCCATCCAATTGGTGTTGGAAGGTAGGGAATCCGAGCAACGGAAAACTTTAACCAATGATAAGTTGAACTGAGATGATGAAACCACAAGTGGACATTTCTATACTCATCAAAAAATACAGATTTTCCGCATTCAACTAGTTCTTCCTCGATTAAGGACATTATGCTGCGAGTTGTTTTATTCTTGTCCAACAGTGAAAGTATTTCATTCTTTGGGTGAAAGGATTGCTCATGGCTGAGTAACTGGTAAATTACAGGCAAAAGACGAACCGACTGATCAACGGCAGGGATTAAATTAAACAAATAATGGATGAACAAGCCGATGGATACATTTTGATGAATCACATTGCCTATTCTAACGCGTCCAGTGATGACAGGTGGCGAAAATACCTTAAAGCAGCCTCCTTCGGCCTTGGGCCGAACGATTGTGCGTCTTTTCTCAGAATGTGCGTTGAACAATATTTGGTATCTTTTGGACATATTCTGCTCAAGAAACCAAACTTCCCGCTCATGATTAGAGCACGAAAGGTCCTGCAATAACAAATTATCAAAATGTTGTAAATTAGGTATGACTTTCATTATTTTGAATCTCAGTGCGAGAAGGCAACGATTACTCACATAGATAATAACCAATCATTGTGGTATCGTCCTATTACAAGTTTTGGCCGCCGTTCTTTGCGTCTCAAATTCGTGTGATTTGAACATATAACAACGATGGGCATGCTTTATTTTTTTTAATTTTATCCAGTATTCCCTTTTTGCCGTATTAAAAAACGTTCAACGCTAATGATACACATGTTTAGGATATTTGGTTTTGATTCTTGTACGTGAGTACTAGAGTGCATTACAAATCCTAGAGGAAGGAATGCTTTCTCGTGTGCGAAATGGAATTATATACTTACTTGAAGGGTTTTCGGAAAAATTATAACCGGTGGGGAATTCAAACTGCTAATTACTAAACTGCGATAACTGCTTGTCAGGCTGGTCACAGACATCAACCAAACCATTATCAGGGCACGGAAGAACTTTGTATTCATTACAGTAGAAGTTACTGTGTTAGATTGTTCGAAAATGGTAGCCCAGATGTAAAACGTCACGTAAAACCGAAACTGATTATATTTAACACTAAAGAACGCTTCCCCAAGAATTATAAGCGTCGCGAGAGAAACTGCAATGCTAATCCACACAATAGGTTGAAATGGATTTATGTAAAACCTGAAATTTATGTCTTCCTTGTAATGGCATGTCACGAAGGCATATTTAATCGTTTCATAGCCAACAGGGGTGCCAGAGTCAAGTTTGTTCAAGATATTCAACAGGTCTGGAATAATAATAACCCTCAAGCATTTCTGATCAATTCTCATACTCTCGCTGGCCTCGCGCTCCCAGTGATATGTCCAATTCCAAGTAAAGTTCAGGTGTTGCACCAAAATGGCGTCCGCAATATGTCTTGTGCTTGTGAAGTAGCCGGGACTTTTTTTGTAAGTCTCGAGTAGGACAACAGCCCAATCCGAGGGCATCCTTATCATTGAATAAAATGACAATAGATTATCCGAGAGGAGGAACTCGAAACATTCCATATTTCTGAGAAATGGGACACTATTTTCGGAATTACTCGTACACAAGGTGCTTTCCTTATCTTCGCTGAAGGGCAGAAATAAGACGGCGAAATGTGGAAGTACAACATTGAGTGGAATGTATAGCGGTGCTAGAGATGAATATTGCAATGATTTGTGCAGGGTATTTAACATCACGAGGACATATACACGCCCAGCAGGTTTAGCAATAATATAACCAGGGTTCGTATTGAAGTAGCTGCGTGAGTAAAATTCGAGAAAAATTCCGAAAGAGTTGGACATGGCGATATCCATCGTAGCGGGAAGATGCATCCACACAATCTGGACACGGCAATATGGTGTGGATATCCTATCTAGCTTGTGGGTAACTAACCGGGGTATGGATGGAAACATAGACCCAAATGTGTGTATTGTTGTGCAGTTTTTTTCGGGAATGGAGACAACGATGGGTTGTTTAGCATCATTTAGAGTTAAATGATGCGACTGTATTCGATCACAAATCAAGTGTGGGATGCAGCCTTGTGGAATGGTGCCTATCAGTTTGTGGAGTTTTGGGTGCGACACAGTTCCAAAGTTTGCCAAGGTTTCAAAATTTCCAAGATAACAATAGAGTAGAAATATTGTCATTGAGGACATTGTTTATTTATTTAATGGATACGTGCTATACGCATCTACGTATGTTATTCACTTTGATATTGACGATATACAGCTAAATTCTTAAATTCAGACAATAAAAAATCCCAATTGTTTTTAAATAACGACGCCACATCTGTTTATGAAATCAATTTAACTTCGATTCCGACGTTGCTTCGTGTTAAAAACTGAAGCATTTTTATTTCCTACCGTTTCACTATTTTATAAAAGTACTGGTTGCAATAAAATAAAGCAATGTAACACTTCGATCTGCAGGTGTTTGTAGAGATGCATGTAGAAGACTAGTTTCCGAAAATTTTTTCATGTAACTATACTACCAGGAATAAATCTTGAAATTGTAATATTGGGTTATGGCGATGCAATTCTAAACGTTTCTTAACAGATATTCGGTATGTTATATAGGTATGAATACACAGTAAAACTTTGAAAGGGAAAGGGTTATACAGCTAGGAATGGCTAGCAAAACACTGCACACAGCAACCTATAGTTAAGTTTTAAAATAAGCACAACTTGTGTTTTAAAAATTCTTTGGAGTTCATGTTCATGTATACATATGTAATTGTGCTGCAGTTTATGACAGTATAACATGTTTGCCATTAAGGACATATAAGTACTAGATATTACTTTACGTATGTAAGGAAATTTTATGAAACTCCTTTTCCTACTGATCTAACCACACGGAAATATAAACCTTCCAGGAAACTTGGGCTATATAATTGATAACCTTTCTATTCGTGTAAACTTCAAGAAGAAATGGTTATTTTAGTCTAAAAATGTTTTGCCGACAGCTTATGCAAATATAATTTGCGTTTTCCATGTTTAAAATTGAGGGGGAAATGGCGACATCAGGCCAAAAATTGGCTGTAATTGTCCCCTAATTGTGGACAGTTATTGTGAGTTGCTGACAACGATTAAGTGGAATGAAGCAAAGCCCTAAACTTTGCCTAAACTTTACACTACATACCAGGAACTTGGTATGCAGTGTATAATTACAGATCAGGTAATAGGTAAATAATTGTACAACTAGGAATAGCCAATAAAACTCTGGAACAATAACTTTTACTTTAGGCTAATTTTGAGAACATGAAGACATGTTATTAACAATATAGCCAAGTTTTCGCCCTTACTTGCTATTCCTGTCTCAGCAAGTTTTGTACAGCAGCATACAAATCCAGACATGTATGATCAATCCCGTCACAAATTGTAAATTTAATACGCCGTTGCAAACAAAATGGAGCAGAGAGGTGAAGCGACGCGGTTATGGGACGTCAAAACGTTCTCGATTTTTGAAATCCCCGTCCCAAAGTACATCTGAAACGGTCGAAAGAGAAAAAATTTGACGTATTTGACCGTTAATCTCATCCCCGTGGAGCAGTGATCTTATGACCTACAACACCCATCTTCGAACTCACGCGTATTTCTAAAACTAGAAACACGTTAGCGAAAATCTTATGTCGAAATTCGAATCCGTTCAAAAGTTATCATTGGTAAATATATACAGATGGACATATGCATGGACACGTAATGTCCATACAGGAATTTCGCTTCGCTTCACTCGCACCATTTAATAAACACATTAAAAAAATATTTATCCTTCAAGTTGACTTGCGACAGACGGACAGACAAAATCTTCGCATTACGTAGACGAAGCTACTCAATAATGATGTAGATACATGCGTCGGTGAAAATGAAATTTAAGTACTTTTAATAAAATAATCAATGTGTTTTATTAAATAATTCATTGCTTTTACATTAATCAATTTGAACAGCCTCTTACCGTTACGTATGCATATAAAATTATGAAACACTAATTATTTGTGGTGGCGATATGTCTGAATTAGAATATTAAGGATAAGTGTTGGGCAGAACATTTTCTATTTTGGTAACTTTTGCCTAAATTAAAGGTTGCCTTGAATACTTGGGTTTGGAATTTATTTTTCAAACTGTATCTTTTGGAAACTCGTATTAATGCATTGCTGCCCGTAGGTATTATGTGAATCTACCTGCATAGTAATAACAGGCATTACCGTTTAGTAATGTTGTAGTTATGAAAAATACACGACTCTGACACAAACTACAACTATGTATGTATCACCAAACCGGTTGGAGGTTAATACAAAGTAAATATCAGTATGGAGTATGGAGTAGATGGAGTTTATTACCCCTCAGATTTTTAAAAAGGTATGTATGCTAATTTTCATAACTGTCCAGAATCCCCCAAACATAATTATTATTTCTGTCTGAAACCATGGTGATAAATGATTAATCGTAAATTATAATATATGCAACTATTGCCAAGCATAAAACTGTGTTTATTTATTTTCAATCACTAGCAATTCATTGCACAAAACCGTTTACCAACTGACAGATAAGTAAAATACACCAAAAAATTTTACGTATTGCTGAATCTAATTTTGTAGCTTTTGGTTAACCACTTCATACAAAATTATCTTTTGTTAGCAATCCTGCAAAAACAAGTGGATCCATCGCAGTGACCGTAAGCCTGATAATTTCCAGAAACAACGACCCCCTGTTGTTGACAGCATCGAGCACAACTTAAGCTGGAACCGCCCAAATTGCAGAATATGTCGCAACTATTGACATTGGAGTGTACAGCAGCCCCACTTTCGGGTAGATCTATATTTGACAAAAAATAGCATTAATTCTCTGCGCTATATAAAATAGTGCCACTTTTACGAAGAGTGAATGCTACATATATTTGGGGAGAGCATGTGAGCGATTTTCGAAGAAATTTTATATCTATTCCTGTGTTTTTGGTTTAGTTTACTTATTACAGAATTCAGAGCGCATTTATTTCTCAAAAGGCAAAATTATTTTTTAGAGTGTAGAAATACAAAAATTTCAAAAATGCAGCAACTCAAATGGGCCATTTTTTACCTTGCAGAGCTATAGCACACAACAGGATGCAATAAATCCAGCAAAATTTCATGGCGATGAAAGAAGAGCCTGAGTTTCGGAAATTTAGTGAACTGTATTTAGGTATGTACAACTGGTAAGTAGCTCTTTACTTCGCTCCCCTTTTTATTGAGTAGGACTAGGAGGAAGGAGTGCTAAATATGTATTGGTAATTAAAGGATAATGCCTATTTTTCCTGGAATTTCAATTATTTAGCTCGGGTTTTGTTCTCATACATACATATGTATGTATATAAGTGGTGAAGGCAAAATGAGGCAGGTGTGAAATATTTTATTGCACAATATACTTAATGAGACATAAGTAAGTATGCAGGCTTAGACTGGTAAGTTTATGTAACACTTACCAATATTATAATTATGCATGGGTGTGTTCGGTGCGATACCGAGAAATTAGCACTGATTAAAATTACACAAATATTTCATGTAATTACACACCATTATATAAATACATGAGTTAATTATTAACTAATAATAAGTAATCTTACATACCTTGAATATACCTACATATGTACATACATAGAATTTCAATTTACGCGTGTACCTAAAAACTAAAATACATACTTCAGCTTTGCATCGTTTCAAAAGATATTTCCTGGAACAATTATCAACTCGTTTAACAAAGCATTTATTATGTAATGTAACTGAGTTATGTAGAAGATTTGTTAACGAACAAAAATACATCTAGGTGTACATTTAGGTGTCCTACTGATTACGTAAGGATGAAATACACACAAAGACAAAGTTCAATCGAAATTGAAAATTTTTGAAAGTGATTTATACAACATGTTGAGTCGATTCATAAAATTTGATAGCAATTGGGGAGAATATTTCACCCAAAACAAAGTTTCGGATTTACGAAATTATGGCCTGCCCCAAAATACGTACTTCAAGGTATTACTCACATCCTGCTGAAGCACGAGCTTGTCCACGTCATATTTGTCGTCTATCTCAACATGTTATACATATTTGCCAATGTGATCATACAATATGTCACGATCCCAATGAAAGCAAAATTTCTGACAAATATGACATTTTGTTCACCACCAAATTATTTTCCCATCAATAACTGCATTCTTGTATAATATGTATGTGTTTAGTGTCATTTAGCTTTATTTATGTGTAGTGCTGTAATACAGGCGTGAAACGGAGTTTTATCATTTTTTTAGAAAATATATGTAATATGCGTATGTTGCCCGGACAAATATGGCGACTATCAAGGTGACAGATTCAAATTGTCGTAAATGTCCAATATTTCGAAGTCCGACAAATTGGGCATTTATGATAACTTGAATTTGTCCTATTTATTTAGCACAAATTTTAAATGTCTGAGAAATTTGATACAATCCATCCGATCCGATGCGGAAATATTACGGCAAATAATCAGATATTGAAATTTCGGACACGTCAATAATGTCAATGGCATGTCATGACAGCATATCCCAACTTCCTACCCGATAAATATTAAAACTTGGCATTCATATATTGTTTCGCTCAATATGAGGTGTGCAAATTTTACCAAGTAGAAATTATGTAAATATATATTTGGACTTACAGAGTTACAGAAATGTCCACGAAAAGTTTCTCGAAAACTTACGGCAAGCATGTTTTTCTTGCATTACCTACCAAACTCACAGATTGATTGGCTTAAATAAACATTAATATTAATGAGTCATATCCTTTTTTAATTGATAAACTGTAGTCGAGCTCTCTGGAATGCGGAACATTTCGTCCTAATTTTTGTAATTATATATCTAAGCACATATATGTAGGTAATTTCCCGTTACCAAGTAAAATTGATACACTCAGGTTTCCACGAAATTAAAATACATCTTTTCTTTAGCACTTCCTGCATTATCTACCCAACGCATGACAGGATTAGGTTATTATTTTTATAGTTTATTAATTAAAAAAGTACATTTTTAGGTACTAAATACAGGGTGGTTTAAATGTCACGTCACGCTGCAATAGGAAATTTTGTAAAGGGGAGACCCCGTTAATATCCATTAGGTACAAGATTTGGGATTGGGATTTTTATTAATTATTATCAAAACTGATGGAACACTGATGCAAAATTCTTAAATTGTTGAATTTCTGAGACAAAATTTAGGTAGCTATTTAAGAGGAATTTGGGAATTTTTCCCAATGAAAAATTTTCCTTTGTAGCTTGATATTTAAGCCGCCCTGTATGTTCTCATTTGTCCACTAGGATGTGAATCATTGAACTATGTATGTACCTAGCTCAGGGTACAATTTGGAGACGGATTTAAGTAGGATTTGCCTAAATAAAATCTGTTCCGAAGACCCAAGATGATTCACTATTACTCCGAATTTTGTCTAGATAAGCCGGGTATTTATGTAAACCTCGAACCAACTAGATACACATTTATATTCAGGTCTCATTAAAAACTTGACACGCTTTGAAACGCTGTTATTTTAGTAGTAATTACATTCTTAAAGGTCAACTGCATCAGGTTTTGAATTAAAATTTTCGTCTCAAATTTCCCTTTTTCTGTGTATTCAAATGGCGATTTTGAAATGTGATCATCTCCTTGCTTTTTTTATAAATTGACGATTTTACTGCGTCTAAAAATCTATAATTTATATGTTTGCAAAGTTAGGAGGTAAGAGTTATGATTTTTTTCTTCAATGAGTAAATATTTAATTGTTGCTTATTATTTTTCATCAATTTTATCCTTATTTTATTAAGCAAGACATACTTAAAAGTCAAAATTGTATTCCTCTACATAACTTTGTAAAAGTAAAAATCATAAATTTTTAAAACCTTCTACTTGCAAAAAGACCAGTTAGATGATCACGTTTCAAAATCGCGATTTGAATAAATGGAAGGGGGGCCGTTGAGACACAATATTTTTAATTCAAAACCCGAATGCAATGGAACATTAATTTTCTGAATAATTTTAATTTTCTGTTAACTGAATCAAGCGCAAGATGAAATTTTTCAGCAATACAGTTGCCATCGCTTTCTTCGTGATGGCAACATTTATAGAGGAGAGTGCTTCACAAGGATATTACAACCAGAACTATATTACTTCAAGAGACATGTAAGTAGATTGGACAGTTTATCAAAAATTTTAATTATCAGTTATGTGGAGGTACATAAGCCACGCATGTACATATATTCAAGTGAGTTGCGGCTCGTTCAGAATTTTCATGACAGGATGAACGCTGCCCTCAAATGAATTTATATGCAAAAGACATACCTGTTCAATTTTTTTCCTTCATCCAAAATTCATTCAATTCGAAAATCAATTTTCATAATTATTCATGCATTATTCATTCATTCAGTGAATAATTCATTCATTCGTCCCATGAATTTAACATATGGCAAAAAATGAATGAATAAAAAACCCACTCATTTTATTTTGAATTGTTCATTCATTATTCATTCATTCAATAAATTATTCACTCATTAATTTTTAATTTCGTACACGGAACATATATACCTTTTGACTTTGGATATGATGATAAATTGTAACCAGTTATATTTAGTACGTATGTAAATTCCATACGTAAAATCCACAAATTTGAGATTCCTGGATAAAATACTTTTTTACGAAATATCGGGATCAATAATTCTATTTTTTTATTTCAGAGGTGCATGGATAGTTTACCTCATTTCCAGCTGTATTCCTCTCGGAATTATCATTTATCTGATCTGCTGCTGCTGTAATCCAAATTGTCGCCCAGATTGGTGCGGAAATAGGATTATGCCGGGCCGAGTTGTTTGTGAGTCATTAAAAAATATACGTATTTATAATGCCAAAGAAATCTTTCTAGGTGTATGGGAAGATCCATGTATTGCGTCAGTAGATAGGTGGTCTTGAGCCGCCTATGTACAGTATGTAACTTATTTAATGCTACGATTTTCAATTTCAAATTCAACTTCAATTTTCCCAAGAACAGGTAGATATTTCAAAATTGTTTTCATACCAATTATTCACCATATATTGGACTACATTGAGGCAAATTTTCGGAGGAATGGAGATAAAACTGTTGAATCCACAAATATGTTAATGTCAAAATATTGCAAATTGCACGTTACATAATTAATGCTACGGGGGTAGGAGCGGTTCAATATTTCGTTAGACCCCAATAACTGATTGAAATCGTTTGGGCATCTAATCCACCAACCTTTCGGTTATGCTATGGTCGATCTTTATTTATTTTCTGTTATCACGGTGTGTCGGGGAGCCGTGCTTATCGGTTTTGGTGTTGTCACCAGACGCCGCAGGGTTTTTGGGTTATGCTCGATCGAGTTGAGGTCAAGAAATTTTAGTGTCCAGTCCAAAACCTTTGTATTATTATCCTTGAGGCATTTAAGATGATTTTTGTAATATTTGTCTAATATCCGGCAATTGTTGAAAATAAATCTATGACCAAAGTCTTTCTTTGTTGTGAATTGGCCAAGACTTATTTCTAACAAAGCAAGGTAAACCGCTTTGGTCATGATCCCATCGACGCACGTCAGTGCTACTACCCTGTGGCAACATATACTGCCCCAAAACCTTACCTCCCTGCAAGATTTCGAAAGTTTCATACCAGGGTTTAGCGGTTCACACAGCTTAGATTTCCTTATCTCTGCTATGTTCGATAATTTGTCTCAGAAATTAATTCCTTGAAACTTCTTTGGGCTCCTTACACACTCTTACCGTTCCATCTGAGCTAAAAAGTTGAATTATGGTCTAATCTGGGAACAGAAATTTTTTCCGGTAAACATGGGATCATCTTCGCTTTGCATTGCCCACCCCAAGTGTTTCTTGTGGTTGCTCCATAAGATGCATGGTGTATAATTTGGAATTTCCCCGGATATTCCTGCGAATATCAGCCTGCGTCTAATCATTCATAGGTGTAGAGCAGTAAAACGGTCACTTTGAACATCTTTCGCAATTTCTGGCGCGGACAGACAAGCATTATTAAGTAGCTTCAGCTACTTTATGTGAAGACTTTGTCTGTCTGTCTGTCTGTCTGTCTGTCTGTCTGTCTGTCCGTCTGTCTGTCAGCAGGATATCAGGAGAACGGATCGAGATAATCGAAATCGGTTTTCTCCATCATACATAGTACCCCAGGGGGAGGATCCTATCAACTTTTGGGGGCAACCGGACCACACCCCCTTTGGCGACAGGGGGTGTGGTCGGGGCAAAATGAGATTTTTAGTGCAATTTAATCTATAGGTGAAATAGAGTAAAATTATGTGTTCCGGAGTTGTGCCACACCCCCTCGGCGCCAGGGGGTGTGGTTGGGGCAAAATGAGATTTTTAGTGCAATTTAGTCTATGGGTAAAATTAGGTGAAATTGAGTGAAATTAAATGAAATTAAGTGAAATTAAGTGCTTCCCCGATTGTGCCACACCCCCTCGGCCCCAGGGGGTGTGGTTGGGGCAAAATGAGATTTTTAGTGCAATTTAATCTATAGGTGAAATAGAGTAAAATTATGTGATCCGGAGTTGTGCCACACCCCCTCGGCGCCAGGGGGTGTGGTTGGGGCAAAATGAGATTTTTAGTGCAATTTAATCTATGGGTAAAATTAGGTGAAATTGAGTGAAATTAAATGAAATTAAGTGAAATTAAGTGAAATTGAGTGTTTCCCCGATTTTGCCGCACCCCTTCGGCGCCAGCGGGTGTGGTTGGGGCAAAATGAGATTTTTAGTGCAATTTAATCTATAGGTGAAATAGAGTAAAATTATGTGTTCCGGAGTTGTGCCACACCCCCTAGGCGCCAGGGGTGTGGTTGGGGCAAAATGAGATTTTTATAAAAAATTAATCTATAGATGAAATAGAGTGAAATTAAGTGTTCCCGAGTTGTTCCACACCCCCTCGTCGCCAGGGGGTGTGGTCGGGGCAAAATGAGATTTTTACAAAAAATTAATCTATAGATGAAATAGAGTGAAATTAAGTGTTCCCGAGTTGTGGTGGGACCGTTTGGGGTGAAGTACGTCTGAAGCTACTTCCGTATGCGCGTTTGCGACGGTTTATTGTCACTGTTTTTACAATAGTCTCGTCCGCGTGTGGTGTTTTACTGGGTTTTCGACCCTGACGATGACAATTCGCTACAGGTCTAGTGGTTTTCCTTTCCTCCGCGAGTCTTGGAACAGATTCGGTGTGTATTTTAAATTGTTTCCAAAGCTTCCTTAAATTTAGACGTTATTAATGGAGACAGGTCACTTTTCCAATATTTTAATACTGACAACGGTGTCCTTTGTTATTTATTTATTATAATTCGGCAGATTATTTTCATTTGTAGTAGAAATACTACAGAATTGTTTATCCATTCGAAATTCTGTTCCGTATTTAGGAAAAACGGCAAATTTGCACCGGTTGTGCATCGTAGCATTAATTATGTAACGTGCAATTCGCAATATTTTGACATTAAAATATTTGTGGATTCAACCGTTCTATCTCCATTCTTCTGAAAATTTGCCTCAATGTAGTCCAATATATGGTGAATAATTGGTATGAAAACAATTTTGAAATATCTACCTGTTCTTGGGAAAATTGAAGTTGAATTTGAAATTAAAAATCGTAGCATTAAATAAGTTACATACTGTATGTATGTATCTTACTTGTGTTAACCTTAACATGAAAAGGATAAGCAGAGGGTCGGTGGGTGGGTGGTCTAAAAATCTGAGTTTTTTACGGTGTAATATATGGACGTTCCCTACCCTCTTAAAAAAAGTGTCACGCTATTAAAAATTGAATACACGAGTTCAGTAAACGGTGCTATGTAAATCCTGAGTAACGATAGTAAAGTTTACTCAAGAACTACTTAGTAGGGAGGTGTACTCCAAACAAGAATCAGTAAATTTACTCCGGTATGAGTAAAAAAAAGCGGATGACACAATCAAAAGGCAAAAATTAGCCAATCATTGGCAAAATGTCCAACGGGTGGGTAAATTTTACCTTATGGTTTTGGTCATCCTCTTTTTTTACTCAACCTTGAGTAAATTTTACTTATCTTTACTTAGAGTGCATAATTACATACTTCCTACATAATTCAGAGTGCATTAGATTTTTAAAATTTGCGTGATATTATTTTTAAGTTTGCTGGCTGCATTTTTATATATTTTAGGTCATTTTAGGTCACCACTTGTTGCAAATGGTAATAATAATTTCTGTAAGATTAAAACTTCCTAGCGTCAAGTATTTGATGTTTGTTTTTAGCACGAGGTTGACAATTTTTTTGCCATGGTTATTACCATTAGCCGACAAATTGTAACCAAATGTGGTAATAGTGACCCCACAAAGTAGTGATGCCCTAGCAGATTATTTATGTACATACATGTAGTGTAAAGGATTAACATACTTACTTATGGCACAGGTACTCCCACTCCCGCTGCTACTACGCAAACGCAAATCATAAAAGTGTGAAGAATTCCAGCGAAAAAATAATATTTACTCAAATTTGATTTGTCATAAATTCATTTCCTGGACAAAAGAATGACCCCAAATTAAATCTATCATTTTGATGTTACCAACAAAATTTTTATTTAAATAAAACACTATCTGAATAAATATGTGAATATATAAATTGGCCGAAATTTCGTTATCTGGAATTATATTTTTATTGATACATATTTAGCATAATGAGAAAATAAGTTTAAAAAATGTCGGATTTACATTAATTGATGGACCAATTAACTCCTTGGAGCAATACATATGCAAATATCTGTAATCAATACCCATATCTGGATTTTATATTTACTACTAATCTAGTTTTGGCAATAATTATGTGATACGATTGCTACCGCCGGAGGTACTATGCAATTCTACCGTGTGGTAGCACCATATTAGTAATAAATTTTCTTCTGAATCGAAAAGTGTCTTTCTGATTGTTCTAAATTACAATGAGGATCGACAAAATGGACTTCAATTCACTGACAATGGAACCTTTCTTCAAGCTACACCGGGATCGACTTGCGACTTATGTCAAAAAATCAAGCAAAAAATTAGGAGTCACGTGACACTTAACTATCGGTTGAATGGCCCCTTTGAAGGAAAATACGTGAGGTCAAAGTTCGCACTCCTCCCTGGTTTTCGCTACAAGATGGCTACACTCTAAGAAACCCGGTAACTAAGTTATTACCTGGCGGAGTATCTATGTGACTCTACCGCATGGTAATTACTTTATTATTGAGTGGTAGATTTTGTTACCGAATCGGTAATAACCCCGGTCGCGAAATTTGAAAATATTACCAGTTGGTAACAAATTTTCTACCACTCAATAATAAAGTAATTACCATGCGGTAGAGTCACATAGATACTCCGCCAGGTAATAACTTATGTAGTTACCGGGTTTCTTATAGAGTGTAAGAGTGTATGTCACGATTTCAATGGGAGCGAAATTTCTGACAAATATGCCATTTTGTCTCGCTGTTCCCCGGCAAGTTATTTTCAATAACTGCATTCTTTTTAATAAGTATGTATTTAATGTCATTTAGTTTTACGAGGGGAGGCCAATAAGTAATGCGAATGGTTCAATATCTCGACAATGAGTGATATTTGGTCCAAAACTTTTTGTAAGTTTTTAACATAATCTCAACCCCGTTCATTGCAGCATTTAGTTTTTTTCATCAGTTGTTTCTATCTCTTAGCAAAAAATTTTTTAATGATGATGTTTAGCAAAATCGCTTACGCTAAAAAAGCTCATATAAACGCTAAAATCTCAATTCCTTGATAATTTTCTTGAAATGTTGGAACAGATAGTAATCACAGGTGTATCGGTAGGCAATATATGGGGGCAAACAATTAACTAGAATGCAGATCGGGTCAATCCGAAATTATTCGCCATAACCATCATTTTGGCCTTGCTTACGCTCTACTTGATGGACTCACTTTCTACCTTATTCAGCGATATCATTGACTGTTACTTTGTTTCTAGAGCATACTGATGAACTAAAATATAATTCCCAGTAACAATATGGGCCTGGAAGTTGATGGTATCCATTTTGTAATTTTTGATTTTTCCCGAGTGTAAGCAATTTTCGCTTAACATCATGTCTAAAAAATATTTTGCTGAGAGATAAGAAAAACTTATGAAAAAAACTAAATGCTGCAATGAACGGGGTTGAGATAATGTTGAAATCTTACGAAAAAATATTTCGACCAAATATCTCTTTGTCGAGATATTGAACCATTCGCATTACTTATTGGCCTCCCCTCGTATTTATGCATAGTGCTATATTGCAGGCATGTAACGGAGCTTTATCATTTTTTAAGAAAACAAACATATCTCGCCCTGTGTTGAGATCGACTATAAAATGATACTCAACGGGTTGAGACCGTCCTCCGCAACGACCCGTCGCAGTCGGTTTCTCCAAATCTCTCCTAAGAAGGGCTGAGAGAGAATAAGTGACGCACTAACACTCGTCGTCAATTACGTTAACTTGCATTTATTAAAAACTCAACCAATTTTTTACAAACTTTTTGGAAGAGGCAAGAAAACTTACAACTACACTGATTCACAGACAAAAGAACAGTGCCCGAAAGCACGAAAATACCTCGCCTTCACAAAGACGAGGGACACTCAAATTATAGGGGCGAATAAAGAATACTTATATACTAATGCCTTATGATTTCTTCACCCTGATAAAATAATTTTAAAAAAGCTTGCTTAGGCGAGGCGCCGCTAAAAGTGAAAAACAAGGCCTCTGGCATATCTTTTAAATATCTCGTACCTTTATCATTGTAACAGGAGTTGGTGGCTTTGTCTCACCGCGAGGCCAAACATTTTTACCGTTTACCATACCACGACGTTTATTACTTACACTTTCTGCTAAGATATTCAATTATTGCTAATTAAAATTGTATCTATATGTATAAACGCTTAAACAAACTTATTGCTTCGAAAGGGTTATAAAATTGAGTGGATTTTGTAAAATTATTATGCAGAGGACCAATATGATCAATAATATTTATTTAGCTCATAATTAAATTCGATAGTTAACCAGTAATTCAGGTAGCTAATAAAATTTGATGGATGTGCACAATTTTCAATAGGTGTTATGCAAAAAATTAAGATGCCGACGCACGAATAACAACGCGAGGGTATTTCCTAATTTTATTTACATATTAAAACAACTAGTTTTCAGTACGAACTAAAAAGTGATAAATGATAATTTTGACGTAAACCCAGATTAGTTAGGTTCTTGAGAATATATTCTTCATTACTAGAGGCTTGGCGTAAAATGTTTGGCCTCGCGGTGATGCAAAGTCACCAACTCCTGTTACAATGATAAAGGTACGAGATATTTAAAAGATATGCCAGAGGCCTTGTTTTTCACTTTTAGCGGCGCCTCGCCTAAGCAAGCTTTTTTAAAATTATTTTATTTCATGAATTTTAGGTGATGCACATTTTCAAACAATTAATTGCACCTCAAAATTGTTAAACTTTTTGAAGACCGAATGTCTTGAATCTTTTTCATTACAAAATTAGTTGAAAATATGTACAGAGGGTCGCAAGATTAATTTAAAAACGGATTAAGGATCAATAATCCAAATTTTTAAATTAATTTAGCAGAAAATAATTTTTCAGATATTAGGTTTTACGGGGATTAGTTATTTCACGAGAACAATCTGGATTAGGGAGGAAGATTATTTAATCTGGATTAGATTATAAATTACAAAATGAACTTATAAACATTTAAGTCCAAAATATATGCATATATGCATATATAGGATGTTCCTATATATAGGATGTTCAAATTTAAAATTTGTAAATTTGACAAATACTTAAATACACTTAAATACAGTACTTAAATATAAAATTATTGAAATTTGAATTTGCAAAAGAATTTGTAATTTTTTGTGCGATTGGCCAAAAATGGAAATTACAATTGACCAATTAATTTGGCAAATTGCCTAACACAACTACTTGTATTTGGAAAATTGTTATATTGATAGCTAGTAGCAACCAACTAGGAATATTGTAATTTTTGGTTAGCAACATGAATGGTTTCAGATGCTTCCATCAAAACTTTTTCAGTTTTGGACCGATCTCAGTCGGATTTGTTTTAAATGACGCACAACCGATTTCTGCATGATCAAATCAGGTTTTATGCATATAGTCCTTTGACAGAAGTGTCTCAAATTTTGATTGTAAAGTTTCAAATCCAAATTTGAGAGCGAAGAATAAAACTTTTCTATCGGGCATATTGAAAAACCACATCTCCTAATTCTCCTCTGCACGATTGCTCTTTACTCCATTTGCGTAGGATTAACCGTTTAGGCTCTAGCCTCGCTGACAGTTTCAAAGGGTGTATACGAAAGCATACCTAGGCTTCGCCGTAACCATGGTGACGCTTTTTTGCGGGCACCCATTGTTACTTTTGCCTCACCTAAGAATAAATACGGGGAATATCAAAGATGACAGATTCCAATTGTCGTGAGTGTCCAGCACTTATGTAGAAGTCAGACAAATTGAACATTTATGAAAATTTGAATTTGTCCTATTTATTTGTCACAAATTTTAAATGTCTCAAAAACTTCTGACATGTCAAAAAATGTCAATGACATGTCATGACAGCATATCCCTACATCCTTACCCGATAAATATTAAAACTTCACATTCCTATATTATCTATTTCGCTGTGAATGAGCTGTGTCAATTTTACCAATTGGAAATTTTGTATTTGGACTTACAGAGTTGCAGAAATTTCAACGAAATGTTTCCGAGAGCTGCTCGAAAATTGCTGCTGCCGTTAGCTCGAAAACATACGGAAAGTATGTATGTATTTCTTGCATTACATACCTACTAAAATCATAGATTGATTAGTTTATTAATGAGTCATTGCATACATGTACATAAGTACATGTATGCAATTTCCGCTTACGAAGTAAAATTGATTCACTCAAGTTTCCGCGAAATTACGTAAATATAAATTTAGCTTTTACTTAACATTTCCTGCATTATCGTCCCAACGAATGACAGGATTAGGTTATTAGTTTTATAGCTTATTGATTAAAAAAGTATATGATGTTAATTTTTTTAGGTACTAGATACAGGGTGGTTTAAATGTCACGTCATGCTGCAATAGAAAATTTTGCAAAAGGGAAAGCCCTAAATCTCCATTAGTTACAAGATTTGCGATTGAGATTTAATATTAATTGTTACCAAAACTGATGCAACACTGATGACAAAATTCTTAAAATGTTGAACTTCTAAGACAAAATTTTGGTAACTAATGGAAAGTTTTGAATTTTTCCTATTTAAAAACGTTTAATTGTAGCGTGATATTTAAACCGCCCTGTATGTATATACTCATTTGTTCCCCAACGATGTGAGTCATTTAAGTGCGTATGTATATCAGGGT